AAAGAGGGAGGGACGAGGGTTAGGGAAGGAGGGACCCGGAGGGAGAGGGCGGGGCCAAGGATGGCGTGGGGAGGTGCGAGGGGGCGGTGGCCCCAGGCAGGGAACCGTGCCCTAGAGGAAGTGTGGGGAGGAGGCCCGACCCGCGACCCAGAGTCTCCGCGTTAGGCCCCTGCTCCTGAGTCCGCCTCCCCATTCTCCGAGCGGTCCTGGGATCCCGGCCCTATCGGAGTCCTGAGCCCCCATGGTGCTGGGGGGAGGCATCGGAGGGAGCGAGGGCTGCCCTCTGGCACAGACACCCTCTCCTTTCCCCGGACCCTGACTCAGTGTGGACTCAGGGCCCCTCCCCACCCTCCTCCTCCCCGTCCCGCCCGAGGGAAGCCAGACAGGGGATAGGGTCCGCGGGCCGGATCGTCCTGGGCCTAGGGTCCGCGGGCCCGGAAAGCCCCGGGAGCTTAGCCGGCGGCAGGGCAGCCCGAACCGGAGGGGTGGGGGGTGGGGGGTAGTGGGAACTGACTGGAGGTGGGGAGGGAGGAAGGCTCTGGCCATGACGCCATAGGATTAACCGTCTCCTCGCCCGGCCAGTTGCCGTCCCCAAAGGGGTAGAAGACTCCAAGCTGACTGGTCTGGAGAGGATGGGGTGGCGCTAAGCCTGGAGACCCCGGCAGAATCTGTGGTTGGAGGCTTGGACAGGTTGGCAGCCCCGCCGGGCCTTTGATCGTCCTGGGACGGCCACCGCACGCTGCGTAGATGTCCTTGGCGTCAACTTGTGGGTGAGCGTCGAGGGCGGGTTCCGGTGACCGTGTCATGCGTACACTTACTACCTAAGAAACCGCACATATCGCACCCCTCGCGTACTTGTGCGCGAGGGGTGCGATATGTGCGTCTTCTGCAGCAAGTGCCCTGGGTCGGGGGTGGAGGGCTGGGTGCACACCGCCACTCGGCGGCGGCCGGGAGTGTGTCATCCCAAAGATAAAGCTTAGTTTCTCAGGACCTAGATTTGCCACCTACTGCTCTACTCCATTTTCAGATATCCCGGACTCAGAGATTCCGTCCGTGCTGGCTGGCGTCTCCACACCTCTCTGGATATTCTTTCTAAATATTGAGTCCTCTCCTCTGTACTTTTGATCCTGCAATTCCTTCCTCCAGAAATGACCTTCCTCATTCTTCTCCTGGCTTACTCTTAAGGCTTCCAAAACTCAGCTCCAGTGTCCCTCCTTTAGAACCCCTGACCACAGAACATGATTCCCCCTTTTATCCCCAGCGCCTGTTAAGTGTCTGGAGAGCTGAGTTGCGTGGCTCGAATTTGGGGGACCTGGGTTCAGCTGACTAGCGGGTTTCCACCAGAGGGGGCGCAAGAGACAGCGTCATTTCACGGTGTCCACCAGGGGGCGCTTCCGCCTGCCTCTGGCGGTCCAGGGTTGAGGAACCAACCCGCGGATTTGCCCCGCCTGATTGGGAGAGGCACCTATAAACTATTTGCATAATCTCGAAAGGGCCGCGTTGAGTGGTCGAGGTGTCTGAAACGGGCTCTCTCATTGGCTTAAATTTTCCCCCTTGCTCCGCGTCCCCATCCGGGCCAGACCCGGCCAGGAGGTCAATCGGAAGCTTCCGGCTAGTGGCGAGCGGGAACCCAGGTGTCCGGGCAGTGGGCGCTGAGGGTGAGTGCCGGGCGGCCGGGCAGCTGAAGCCGGGGTATGGGGGGCCGGGGTGGGAGGATGTTTGCCCCGCCCTGTCTCCCCTCGGCTTGCGGGTTCTCCTGTCTAGGAGTCAGAGATGTGCATCTAGAGAGGCACCGCGACCCTTGCCACCTGTCTCTCCACCCACACACCGAGGTCCTCTCCACCCATCCTGGCCCCACCCACGCTGCCTTGGGGTAGGAAAAGGAGTCTCAGTCGCAGCTTCTGACCTCCCGGGGTGTCTCACTCAGGCCTCTAAAGAGCTTAGTTTGCTCCTGGAAAATGGACCAGTGACTTACAGAGGCGTGTGCCAGGGAGGAGTTGGGGCGGGGGGCGGGCGGGGGGCAGGTGGGGCGGGCTGGAGCCTGCT